TTGTACTTACCTGACTTTGATTCGGCCACTAACTGACTTCGTTTAGGTTCAGGTAGGGCCCAGGCATAAATATATAGGACCTGATCATCCTGCGGATTTAAGCCCGGTACTTGCAGCAATCGATCGACCTCACGGGACAACGCCTCCACAGACGTCCAATGTTTCTGACCTGTGGTAGTGAGCTGATCGAAGGCCTTATCGACTGTTGTCTTGTCAAGGAAACGTTCCCGGATCTTGTCCAGGAACTGTTTCAGGGTCATCGTACCGGCCCACTTACCAATATCATCGAATCCGGCTGCGTTAGCTTCGGCCAGGACCCACTCTTTGGCCTCCCCTCCAAGACACGACGTGGAGAAGGCGACCTGTGATTCTTCTTCCACGGGGGTCGTCTCGACGTAGGTCTGTATTTCTGCAATCCACAGTAATAAGTTTTCATCCTTCTTATTACTGAACGTGAAAGGCAATTTCATCTTTACCTTTTCCTTCTTCTTTGGCTTCTCAGTTTTCTCTTCTTTATCTTTCTTTCCTCCTGATGGGTGAGGACTGGATGGTGGACTTGATGGTGGCGTCGGTGGAGGAGGCCCAGATGGTTCCCCCTTCTTTACTTCGACCCTGAGATCTTTCATAGCATCACCCATTATTTTCTTCACAGGTTGTTCCTTCCGAACCTCTTTTTCCTTTCCTTTGACCAAGTTAGTCACATTTTTCAATCCGACGGTCAATTCTTCCAACTTTGCTTCAAAATGGTCGAGCCTTGTCTCCAAGTGAGCGAGGTACTCAACCAGTTGGTTCAGTGCCACAACCTGTTCTTCCCCTGCCACAGTTACCACATGTTGTCTGACTTCTTGTTCTCGTTTTGCTTGCTGTTCATCTTGTTCTTTCTTCTTTAGCATTTCCGCCTTGCGCGTTTTCTTTTTTTCAAGAGCTTCTTCCAATTGGCGGATGTTCTCATCAATCGTCTGTTCCGTGACCACCATATCATTTTTGGCATTTCTGCCATTTGCTATGTCTTCGAACTGCTGACAGATGTGCGCATCCAGTGCTTTACGACACTGAATGATGAACTCCTGTATCTTCAATAGGTCGGTGCCAGTCTGAGCTGCATCCAGGTCTGCCTGGGCTTTCCGCAGATCAAACTGGGCCCTCACATGTGACTCAGCCTCTGCACCGGCATCGTGCAGCTCAGTGGCCAGAAGGTTGAGCCGTCTAGACAACAGTTGTCGTCTCTGCTCAACCTGAGCCCTGGTACGAGGGTCAGGGAGCTGCTCAACACTCTGGCCCTCAGCTGGGGTCTGAACAGTCTCTTCCTGAGACATTTCAGTGTGGGGTATCTACCGCACAATAAACAAAGTAAACAATAATTAATTTCGCGGCCCCACAGATTCTAAACAGCAGATTACAGCAAGGTCAGTGACAGCAAAAATAACTGCATGATATTTTCAATTATTTTTCTTTTTCTTTTTCTTCGCTGTTCTTATTTATCTAACTCAATGTGATGACGTGCTTTTGCAGGTACCGATCCGGACACAGTGATCAGATACACACAGGTGAGTATGCCAGCACAGGACAAACAAACGACACAGGGAAAAACAAGCCAACATCAACAGCAATCAATATGTCAGCATCAATAATCCCCTGCGTCAGTCCTGATCAAAGCAACAATCACCCTGTTGCGACAGCTGGCACTACAGCTGTTCAATTAGCTGTACCGCCTCTGTTGTCAGAATGATCCTTCCACCCAGGCACACACGTGCCAATCACGTAACACCCCGGTAATGCCAACTCAGCAAGCACACAACACTTGCCACGTCAGCATCAAGTGATCAATCAATCAAGAGGGGGGTGCCACGTCAGCCAATCTGGCCCCCAGATACAACTTCAATCAAGCCGCGTCAGCAGGGAAACAACAACAAGTCAGTATTCCCCCTGCCACGTCAGCAATCAAGGTCCCAGCTCAAGGTCTCGCCAATGTGATACAACTCTGCTACGTCAGCAAGATCGTCTTTGTCTTCAAAGCATCATCATCATCATCTTCTGTATCGACGCGCACAGCTTCTTCAAGGGGAATGAGTATGTCGTGTCTAGACAATCGCGTTTATAAACGCGCGCGACACTCAAAACCCCACTTACCTGTCCACGTGGCAGGTGCGCGTCGTTTTCCCCACGCGCGTTCTTCAATCGGGCGCACATGCTCAGCCGTCTAGAATCGCATTGAAAAACGCGTTCTGAGACGCGCGGGCCCACTTACCTTGCGCCAAGTGGCGCGCGCATACGTCTTCAATGGTCGTCGTGATCTTGATCGTCGTGATAGTCTTCTTTGGCGGCGAGATCACCTACGTGATCATGATCTTTGTCACGCTCGTTTTCTCCGTCGTGATGATCTCCGTCGTCGTCTGCATAATCACGTTTGTGATCGTGGTCGTGATCTTGATCATTTACGATATCATCATCAAGATCCCGATCGTCATGATCATCAACGTCGTCGTCAGATGTCTTCTTCAGCGCGCGCGCACGTGCGCGCGCGAATTACGGAAGTTCTGCTCCGATACCAATCTGCAATGAACCCAGGCGAGATAACACACATTGGACATGTAGATACTGTTCGCAACGACGCACGAGCATCAGCGCTCGTGCAGCACAAGTCCAGTAGCTCAATGACAAAGCAACTCGAGTAATCCAATCTTGTTGATGAATAATGTCGAACAGATCTGCTCCCGTAACCGAGTATACACATACATAGACAAGAAATAGAGAGGGGGGAAGTAGAAGAAGAAGAAGAAGAAGCCCACTTCTTCTTCAGGCCAAACAGATTCGCCCCCTCTCCAGCAACGTCGTTCCAGATACAGATCCGAGTTCCTCAAAGTGCCACRTGGCACATCAGCATTCTCTTCATCAACGGAGCAGCAATGTCGCCTCAACAAACAGGTACGTGTCATCTCATCCCCAAAGTCCCTGACCTCCTTCCGGACGACGAAAGTCTGAACAGCGAATGAACATGTGGCACAGCCACGTCACTTGCTGCCACGTCAGCACCTTGTAGACAAGAACAAGCCAGCCCCCATGCCAACAAGCAAGCAGCATGTCGTCGCTGAGGAACGCCAGCGTCCAGCTAGCAATTAGCCAGCACCTCACAAGCCAGCGTCGCGTCAAAGTAGAGTCAGCCTTGACTCGCGACAGAATGAATCATGTCAAAGCCAGGAGTCAACCTTAAGTATCGTTGACTCGGGGTCAATGCCCCGGTGCAGTGGTCCTGTGCCGTCAAGATCTTGATGCGGCGACGACCTGGATCGGTCTGCAACTGTTTCTCCCTTGGTCAGATGTCTTGGCCCGGTACCTGCATACAACACGTGTGTATCTGTTCGTGGACTTGGGTACGGTACCTGCAACCCGACAGTTGACTTTGACCTCTGAATTTCCCCAGTCCAGCGCTGGGTCTCACTGGCCAGACGCTGGGCTGGGCCGGGCAGTGCGTGGTCACACAGCCCGGCCTCTGCAGAGTGCGGGTTGCTGCATAGCCTGTATACATTCATTTTTAGGGTGCGTTATGTTCGGGGGAAGATGGTAGGCAGGAGATAACAGTGATCAGTTGAAGAGTCTGTCTTTAGAAGGCTTCATAAACTTCATCCAGGGTCGCTAGAGTCGTGAAGCCAGGTGTCATTCGACATGCAAGCAGCCAAACCCAAGAAGAGGCTGTAAGCTTCCAGAAGGAGGGAGCAAAGGCAAAAGGGGGCCAACCCATGACCAACTGAAGATATCTGCAAGGCGGATCAGAAAGTATAAAAGCCCAACAGCATCAGCAAGCAGGATCAACTGTTCATGTGCACGTTGCGGAAGCGCTGTGGGTTGCTTGTGCGATAGTGCGACATGGATGGAAGGTGGGCGCTGGAGGAGGAGCGAGTGCCTGGCGAGGACAAAGACGTCTGGTTACCATAGCTCGTGTTAGGTGGTTGAGGAAGAAGGCAGCCATAGCCATGGAGGTCAAGGGTGGAACGGCGCGGGTGTATTTAGGGTACAATCCAAATGGAGTAGGGTGAGAGAGAGCAGAGAGGCGAGTGATCGAAGTGACGAGAGTCAGCAAGGTTGAGCAATACAAGCTAGGAGAGAGAGAGAGAGGGAGAGAGAGAGAGGAAGCCAATTACATACCTGGATCTGAGTTTTGCTGTTGTGTGCGGCCGCCAGATACTCGAACACATTCTTTGTATATAATAACTGTTGCAGCTCTTTGGTGTGCTGTCTTGTGTTTCATCTCTAGACTTCTGGTGTGAGCTCTTAGATGAATGTTCTGCGTTTGCATGTGGAGTTTTGGTGTGGGTTTGAGAGGTTCATTGCATCTGTATGCCGAAGGAGGTGTGGCCGAGGTTCTTGGTGGAGAGCGCAACGTGGTAAGAGAGAGGTGGTGAGTGGTGTGTATGAGGGGCGAGATCTCATATCTGGCGATGATGAGCAGGCCGCCAGTCGCAGTCTTCATTCGTCATCGGGCAGCTGCACTTCATGATGACCTGTTGATGTCATTGGGAGGCTAGGAGTCAAGGCGTTGTCTGATAGAAATTTGGGCGCTGAGCGCCATGTAGAAGAGTGACATTTGGAACATTGATGGTGGAGGCCAGAAGAGGGCTTGCACTGTCAATTGACTTCCTAGCTTTGCTCTTATTTGGTGTATCTCCTGGTGCAATCTGCTTTCAGTTCGAGCATACGACTATCTGGTTTCTTATGGGATGATGCAATTTGGTGTTTATCATTCGCATTGCCCATTTTCCTTGCAGTTGATTGGCCTGACCTGAACTTTGTTGTCTGACCTGTACTGATGTTGCACCTATAGGGCTGCAGCTGAATAACACCGGTAATGGACACCATTCCATCCTTGCAAATCTTAGCACATTCCAGTCCTCAGACTCCAACCCTGAATTTGGGGGAAAGAGAATCTATCATATTTGATTGAGTGTAAGGAGGTGGTCGGTCTGACATGAAAATTTTGGTGGTTACTTGTATTGGTATTGCAGCTATAGAAATGCAGCCGATGATGCTCAGGAAGCTGTGCTCGCACAACTAAGGGACCTTGCATCTTCCCTTTCGCAAATAATGAATGCTGTTATCAGCATGGCCACGTTTTCAATTATTGCAAATACATTGTTTCTACATGTCAGGGAGGCTGTTCGAAGGGGCTGGTGCTTTCCACACATTGTGGGCGATGAGCGTGAAAACGGCGGAGATTTTGCACAGAGCAACATGGAAGCTGGGGCGGACAGTGGGTTTCATTATCCGACTGAGCAATCTGGTGCATCCCACGTGCAGCAAACGTCAACAGTGTTTCCATGTGCTGCCACCATGCTATTGGCTCAGGGATCTGATAATGAGCGAGCAAATCTTTGTGATTCTCCACAGCCTTGTCAAGCTGAGGGCAGTATACGCAAGGGCCAAAATGCATTTGAAACGCCCATTTCTCCATCTTCTCCTGCCGGCGAGGAGAGCAGCAATCGTGGCATTGAGCATATGCCTGAAGGCCCACGTAGAACGATGTCCTTGAGGGGCTTGTTTCCATTTTGGTTGGAGAAGGCATCAATCTCAACAGTGGCCAATAGCTTCTCAATGTCATCTATGTTCCTGCTCACAGGACCAAACACTGCTGGAAAGTCCACCATCCTCCGCTCCACTTGTGTGGCTGCTCTGCTGGCGAACTGCGGGCTCTTAATCCCTGCTGAAGTTGCATCTATCCCAAAATTTGACTTGTTTATGCTCCGCATGTTCTCAGCGGACAGTCCAGCAGAGGGCCTGAGCTCTTTTCAGGTGAGAGCAGCGTGGAACGATTCTGAAATTGTGCTCTGCACATGTTGTATTGTGCTGAACTCCGTGATTGTGCTCACTGTAGCTTAGTGTCCTGCAGCTCCTTTATCTTGGATCAACGATGACATCACCGCCAACATCCAATAGTCCAGCGGAGAGCCTGAGCTCTTTGCAGGTGAAACCAGCAGAGGGAGGAAGTTGGGCCATGTGCTCTGCAGACTTGTGTTGAACCAATTGACTGTCCCTCCTGTCTGTTGAAGAGTAGGAGGAAAGGAGGGTGGTGCCTCATTTTGACGCTGTCGATCCACTCGGAAAAAAAAAGGAGGAAAAAACTTTAAAAAAGAAGGAAAAACAGGAAGGGTTGCATCACTTGTTCTTTGTAAAGGACTGCGGATACCTGTCACACACCCCAGTTTTTTCACCAAGTGATTGGGTGAACATAGTGACTGTGCGTTGTCTTCTGTGATAAATGAAAAATAACTGTTATACTAGGTTACCTGGGCTCCCTGGCCAGGCCCAGGCCATCCAGGGCAGTTTCTCTTATTTTGAGCTCACCCATGGAGCTTTTCTGTGCCCACGTGGATACGCCTGAATGCAGGCGCTTCCCTTTTTTTCTTGTTTCTGTGTCAGGGGATGGGAAGTGTGACTCAGTGAGAAGTCAAAAGAACTTTCATGCAGCAAACAGAAAAGGTTCAAGGGCTGCAATGTTGCCTCTTTCCCCCCCCCCTTTCTTTCTCTTTATGAACGGAATCTCACGAAGGACAAACAGAGTTAAACAGCTAGAGAGACCGTTGGATGGGCCCTTGTGAAAGACCACTGAATACAGGTGCTGGTGGAATTTTATTAGATGAGTAGGGTATAGGGGGTGAAATGGGGTCCAAATCTGCTTGATAAGGGAAATAGGTGTGAAGGAATCATAAAACTGGGTGGGCCTTGCATTACTAAGAGTGTTACGGACTCCGGCAGGGCTCGATCCCTGGTCTATCTTTTTGCTGTTTCGGCTGCATCTCGTTTTCGGCCTGACACCCTTTTTCCAAACCCCTCCTTTGGTACCGTAGGATTTTGGACAACTGGCGCCATGCTGCAATTCGGGCGCCACTTTCAAATGCCGCATTTTTCAGTTCTGCCCTCGGGGCCTTTGCAGAAATGCCCCTGGTACCGTAGGTGTCACCGGTACTTATACCGGCTCCCCGTACGGTACGGGGACCAGTCTCGTACCAGTTTCCAGCTGCTGTACTCGTACTCCGTGTGACTTGCTGTTTTCGGCATTCGGGAATCCAATACTTCGACTTTGTGCCCTTGCCACTGTGTCTGCATCCGACCCTCAGTCGTGTCGAGTGAGTGAGTGTGTGTGTGTGCTTTCACTCTCTCCCTCTCTCCCTTTCTCCCTCTCTCTCTCTTCTCCCTCGGCTCTCCCTCAGCCTCGCGCGCATTACACTGGTATCGGAGCGGTTCGAACCCGCCCGACCCACCTTGCTTCGTCGTCACCACCTGGCCATCATCAGCATCATCGCCGTGATCGTCATCGTAGTGCCATGTCATCGTTGTGATCATGGCCGTCGTGCCACGTGATCATCATCATCGTCGCGATCGTCGTCGTCGTGCCACGTCATCATCGTCACCGTCGCAATCGTCGTCGTCGTGCCACGTCGCCATCGCCATGCCCGTCGTCCTAGTCGCCGCGCCGTGCCATCCTCGTCATCATCGTTGCTACCTCCGCGCAGATAAGTAATCGATGACAATTTTCTTTTTTATTTTTTTTCTTTTCTTCTTCTTATTCTTATTCTTCCTCTTCTTCTTCTTCTTCTTCTTCTTCTTCTTCTTCTTCTTCTTCTTCCCCTTAGCTTCCTCTCCTTCTTTCCTTCTCCCCCCGACGATCTTTCCCCGTCCCTTCCCCCCCCCGCTATCCGCTAGTGCCCCCCCGCGCGATTCTTCCTCCCCCCTCCACGCGATCCCGACTT